GCACAGGTGTCTTGCTTAACAGATTCAAATGACAAATACACTCTTGAAACACCCAAAACAACATGAAACTTGGGTTGTAATCCACTTTGGTTTTAGGTTTTAATAGGCAATTTATAAAAAAAGAAGAAGAAACAAACAAAAGAAAAAAAACTAATAATATAAATTATCCCTCCTGTCTTTTGTGTTTTAACCTCACCAGGCCAAGGGACTACTATTCAGGGCAGTACAATGAGAGCCGCTTCTACGTTCTACACCAGGACTTCCTCCGATACGTGAAGAACAGGTCAGTTGTTACCGGAGGTAAAAATAAATAATTAGATTAAAAAAAAATCACACACAGACACCAAAAACTGAAAAACCCCCCCAAAAAAACCCAACATTAAAATACCAGATTTTATCCTATTTAAATATAATAATGACAAATAAGATGCTTACATTTAAAGGTAATGTCGAATTGCCAAAATGGGTAAAACGACATTAGGAAGCAAAAAATAATTATTTTTATCATTCATGGAAAGCAGAAATTTTTTCCAAGCCAGTAAATTATGAAATAACTAATTTAAAAAATGTAAGATATCTGGGCCACGCAATCACCATAAAATATTATTTTTGGTGATTGAACTCAAAATCATTTAATTGTTATAAATCCAACAATCAGATATTTGATCATTTACAGCCAACAATCATTTACAGCCTTTCCTGAAGCTATTTTAACTTAAAGGTCAGTGTGAAGGATGCAGTGTTTCCTTACTTGTCAGTATTTTATTTCTTCTTCTTTTTATATGTTTGGTTTGTTTTCTGTTCATTTTCCATTGAAGCTTTTTTTATCCGCAGGTTCCTAAAGTCACCTAATCTGAATGAAACATTCTGGCCATTAGTCAGACCAACCAACGGAGCGTTCACTCTCTTCCTGGCTTTGCACACATGTGATACAGTGAGTTACTATCACCTTTACATTTCATTGTGAGAGTCACAGATTTCAAAGCACACAATACAGATACTGACAGTCACTGAACCCCAGAGCAGCTCTTTCATTAAAAGAAATTATTTAACACACAATTTTGCAAATTGGTTAAAACTGAACATCACATATTTTAAACATATCAGTACAAACACTACTCTGTTTGCATAGCAGAAAGCATTGCATTGTTTTCATCCAAGCTCATCTGTCCGTCCATTTTTTTTTTTTTTTGCTGCTCATCTTATTCCAGACAGCAGTCTGAGCAGAGATCCTTATACTTCCCCCACCCCAGCCACTTCCTGCAGCTCATTGGAGATTAGAGGAGACATCAAGGGACCCCAAAGCCAGGCGGGACATGTAATCTGTTAAACGTATCTTGAAGTTGCCCTGGGTCCTCTTTCAATGCCCAAACTACGTAATCTAGGAAGTGTGAAGCAGGCATCCGAATCAAATGCTCAAACCACCTCAAAAGGCAGTTCTGTGTGATACAGCAAATTTTGATATCTATCTGATATCAAAATTTGGGCTAGGGTTAGTACTGCCGATGACAATGCGTCCTAACAATGCATCTAAACCTATAAAGGCAGTTTATCCAGGAGAGAGAAGTATGTCTGTCACGGTTTGCTTGGAGATTAGAGAAGGAGATCTAAAAGCAGACACTGTGGACAACGGAACATATTTTTATGCCCTGGCTTTTAACACACTATAACCCAAGGACTTTGGTCTTATTTGACAGTCTTAGTTATTGTTTTCATTCTTTTATTGTCCTATAATTGTTTTATATTGTTATTATTGTTTTACATTGTTTCTTTTTTAATGGCATTTTTATATTGTTAAGCACTTTGTGCAACATCGTCTGTCTGAAAATGTGCTATATATAATTTGACCTTGACCTTCAAAAAACAAAAGCAAGCCTTTATTATGGTTGATTACATAAAAGCAAAACTAGGCAGCAAGGACAGTGGCAAAAGCTAAACTAGGACCTAAAATGGGAAACCAGAAATGACTATAGCAACTATGAACATGATTTTGAACTGG